CTCCCACCCGTTTCCCTGATGAGTCTAAAGAGTTGCCTAGTGTTGCCTATCGCCGATGCTTTTTCCATCTCTTTCGCCTTTGTCAGCCACCACTGTTCACGGTTCTTGCGGAGACTTTTCATAAGTTTCCTTTTGTGCAGCTTTCGCTCCTCATTGAATTCGGAGCTCTCCGGAATAAGTCTTCTAGCATCTATCAGTTCGGATGAGGCAGTCGATATCCAATGGTTTTACTCACCTTTAGATTTACCGTATTCACAGCTTTTACAGCTGTATCTATGGCTGACTGAATATTCTTCCAGGCTTCTCCAGGGTGAGCACAGCTGTCGAACTCAGATATGCGTTTAGCTAGTTCTTCCTCAAATAGGGATTTAGTTTCCTGATCGAGCTGGGGACGTGATGGTTTTACCACCAGCTGTTTCCTATGTCCGTTCAGTCGTAAGCACACACGAGCGCGGACCAGTGCGTGATCGGTATCTACACACGTGTTCCAGAAGGAGCGGCAATCTCCTACCGAAACTTAATGTAGTTTTATAATTCAGTTACCTTATTTGCAACTAGATGCCTGCTTCCAAGAAGGAAGTAAAAGAAGGGATTTCTGTAATATTTTTATATCACACGCCAACTTGATTATGATAAAAATGGAATCAATCGAAGTACATTGGTTAAAATCCCAGCATCTATGAAGATATTCATTTAACTATCAAGGGTTTTATAACCCCTAAAACTAATAAACTAGTCAGTAAATCATAACATGATACATTTGAATGCTTTTATGTAAACTAATTCTAAAGTAGTGGCTTATACTCGGATAGATAATAACGTGTGAATTTAAATTTCAAAAGAATTTAGGTGTAGTCAGGAGTTCGATATAGTCTCATGATTATGTGTATAAGCCAACTTGGCAGGCTATGAAGCATGCGTATAATTTTTATTTATTTATTTTTATTTTTGATTACAGCTTGATTCCACACCGTATTTTTGGTACGAGTGTGGAATTTTCAGCGTGGATATCGGTAGCCCAAAATTCGCAGGCCGACCATAGATATCAGGTGTGCGTCGGCGTAGGCTCGAACCCCGGACCATGTGCATGGTCGGCGAGAGTCCTAACCACTGTGCCACCGACGCACACTGCTCAGTTGCCTAGGCTGAAGTAGATGGAGCAATTCAAGCGCAATACCCACTGGATGGTAGGATTAATGAGCAACATCCCCTCTTATTGGATTTTAAGGCTGATACCAAACAACAGTCATAGTAATAAAAATATCGATAGAGGAAATAGAGGTTAGTGAACTAGGTCCAAAGTCAAACAGTGTGAAGGTGTCTGATACTGCCTGTTTACCTTAACTCCACTTAACGAACCGAACTCCTGAAATGTTTGAAATTAGGAATCCTACTTTCTAAAGTGACAAGTTGTAGCCTCAGAAAAATCTCCGTACTTGATAACTTTAATTTCTCATTGAATAAAGTTATGTATGAATGTAACAATAGGCTATATTTCACAGTAAACCACCACATTTTCACTTCGTCCATATGATGATTAAAAGTATTGCAAGCTGAAAAAATACACTATCAAACAATATTGTCTATTCCTATTCACCAGCTGAAAACAGTAATTAAGTGGATTTTGACAATTTGAACTCCTCAAATGAACTAATGTGACTACTGAAGAAACAAGCGTAAAGATTTTGGCAGGAAATCGACAGTGGGGCGCTGCACTCATGTAAACTCTCTCGACTAACGAATAGTTGCATGAATCGTCATGAGCACCAGAACCCCAAAATGGCCGAAGAACTACCGATAATTAACACACTGAGACCACACTAAATAATTCGAAAAGCCAGACTCGATGTCCACGTTCTTATAAACACTTATAATAATAATAATAATAATAATGATTTACTTTATTCCAAAAACAGTACTTGTGATACAGAATGGAATTTTCAGCATTAATCACAATATTGCATCTAATTTCCTCAAATTATAAATAAAATTAATCACACAGAAAATTTTTCACATTTACAATAGAGGTAGTGTCAAAAACATGCAGCATATAAAATGGAAATAGCAATAATAATGATAACAGCTAGGGTAATAATAATAAGAATACAAGTGAAAATTGCCGTTGGCTTGTGCCACACAGTATTGTCAATGTGGTATGGAAATCCTAACATGTTTAAAAATATTGAATATAATGTTCTCTTTACATGATATGGTGAGGGGAAAAACAAAGATTACAGCCGTCATGGAGATAAGTTGGTGTTTGCAATTATGAGAGTAAAACAGAGAATTAACAGGACCATAAATATAATAGAAGTAATAAAAGTAAAACTTGAAGGTATGTAAGGATGGATGGAGGAAATTGTTTATTTACTAGATGAAAGAAGGTTAGTTAATTCTTGCCTGACACTATTTTCATCACATAAAATACGTGCCAAGTATGGTATCATAGACTTCTTATACTTAGACGTGCGAGCATACAGTTTTCTGAAGTTACTCCTTGTTCTACCTGAGGAGATGCAAGGTGAAAGCTGAGGGTAAAGCGGATGCTCCAAGTCAGACAAAATCCCTTTAGCAAATTTATTGCACGAAGTCAAATGCCTATCGACAACGACGTTAACTATGTGGTCCACTGGGACACCACTCACTCTACTGACAGTCTTCAGTATTCTACGAATTGTGACATAGTCTTTTTTAAGCAAACCAGGAAAGAATAAGGGTGAGCAATAAAGAAGAATAGGTAGGATGCAAGAGTTTACGAACTGTAGGATGAGGGGTTGAGTTATACCCGAGTGTCTTAACTTCTTAATGTAAAATGTCAAGCGGAATATTTTACTGGAGATTGCTAAGACATGGGAAGACCAGGAGAGATCAGAAGAGAGAATGAGTCCAAGATACTTAATTTCTGATTTGATTCCTATATCATTGTCGTCAATTTTACAAGTGTCATGAGAATCGATGACTTCTTTTAACTGTCGTTTACATCTTAAGCTGAAATCAACAGTTTGACACTTAGAAGGATTCAGTTTAAGACCGTTAGACTCAGACCATTTGCTGACTTCCGATAGAAAGCTATTTATTTTAGTACAATCTAGCTGGGAGTTAACAGCCATTGAAACCGTTAAATCATCAGCATACTTCACAAAGTTTATTTCATCAGAGTGAGGCAAGTCGTGCAAGAAGAAAGAAAAAAGAAAAGGAGAAAGAACAGCACCTTGAGGGACACCAGCTTCAGTAGGCAATGAAGTGGAGGACTTCCCTTTATATACGGTGTACTGCTTTCTATCTGAGAAATAGGAATGCAACCAGTTAACAGCCCAACATTCTGTTTGACTAGCAGCAAGTTTATTTAATAAGATGTCCCTAGGGACCGAGTCGAAAGCAGATGTATAGTCTAGGAAGGCGCAACGAACAAATTTAGCCCCCTTGTCTAGACTGGAAGCAATATTATGATATAAGACGGCAGCTGCATCTAAAGTGCTTCTACTGTGCTTATAGGCAAATTGTTTAGGGTCATTAAAGGATTTAAGCGAAGGTTCAAGACTAAGTAAAAGTAATTTCTCCATAGTTTTCAAAAAAGGAGACGTAATAGCAATGGGTCTAAATTTGACACATGCTCCAGTAGAAGATTTAGGTATGGGTACAACTTTAATGTCCTTCCAAACGGCAGGCACAATATTATCGGAAAAAGATTTGTTAAATAGATCAGTAAGAGGGTGACACAGAATATCAGAACATTTTTTAAAAATAATACTAGGTACATAATCGGGACCTAAGCTCTGGGAAGGGTTTAGAGACTTGAGGCACTTTTGAACATCATTTGTGTTAAAACCTGGAAAGGGGCTATTATTAACACAAGTGATGCTGGGAAGCATGGCATTTGAGGGAGAGTAAATAAAAGATTTGTTAAGAGTACATACATCAAAAGAATATGGAATATTGTTTATCTGCTTACCACCAGTGATTTCCTTAAATAGTTTCCACATATTAGAAGGATTTTTGCAGGACATGAATTTCTGGTTATATATTACATTCAACCTCTGCATTTCAGACTTAACTAAGAAGTTAGTTCTTTTTACACCAATTTTATCTTTGATTTTATACAGTTTTTCCTTCTCTCTACGAAGCTTTTTAAGTTGAGGCGAGGAGAAACGGTCAAATTTGACGAATAGTGTTTCTTTTGGACAACAGATTTCAAAACAGAATTTCAGATAGGATAAAATGTAGTTTCCGGAAATTCATAAAAACAACCCCCATTTCATTGCATGACTATAATTTATACGGAACATTTCTAGGAAGAGATGTAAAAGAGAGGAATATACACTGTCTTAGGCCATGAACTGAACCGGTCAGCTTTACTTTTTATAATATTTTAAAGGATTCATGACACGACACACTATTCATTAAAAATTCCAAAATTAGTAACTAAGTCGCTGACATATTAAAACTTTTACACTAAACTATTTATTTTCACCACTTAAAGTCTTTTTATAAATTGCTGTGGAGTTGCAGAGATATGAATTAAAGTAAAAGTACACACAACACAAAAGTGAAGACAGAAAAAATACGACACAATTCATCCTATAAAAAATTCAGCCTAAAGATGTGCAAATGAAGCCTGTGTTCGTAATGACATCTATGTCCTGCAAAACCGACATACAGATTGCACTAACTTGAATAAAAAATGATGAACTGGGGAAATATTGGTAACCAGTAGATTGTATTTAGAAAAGTAGATACAGAGGAGTATCTAAGCTAAGACTGTATTTATTCGAAGCACCGCTTAATAAAAAACATAATATAATGGTACAATATTCATAATGTAGTCTAAAATGTTAGAATATCATAATAAAAATGTGTAAATCTACTATATATCACTTAAAATTCACACAACAACTTACCAAGTACCACATATCAGGATACAACGGGTCATTCCAGGAGGCAGATGGTAAACTGGAACGTTTAGTCCGTGTGAGAAATTCTTGTTCTAAAACCCATTTGACCTAAAAGTGTAAGCCCGTAAACACCCATACCCCAGGACCACTGATATCACGTGGAGAGCGACGTCTACGCTTTTTAGATCCAATTTGTTTTAAGTGCATTATGTAGATTCCTTCGAAACCAATCATCTGGATCGTGAAATTATAAATAAGAGCAAAATACTTTATCAATTAACTCCAAACCATGAAGACGTGCAACTGCCTTTGCATCAGAAAAAGTTCCATCAACCCGGACAACATATTCAACCACAGGTGCCTCACAAGAATCTTGACGGCAATGTAACTTATTCATCACAATATTGCACGAAGACATAATAAGCAAAATATAGAGAAAACTTTCACAATTCATTATCTGAAGTTCGTGATCATAACTCCGGATTGAATTTCGCTATTTTTCTAGATAGTACAACAACTTTCTAAGAGTCCTGTCTCAGGCAGCTGACAACACCAGGCAGAAAATAACACCATCTGCAGTAAACATTCAATTTAGGACATTCTGTGAAGGTCTGTTTAAAATTATTTTGATGCATCCAAACAACCGGCTATCTTCAGGATTGAAACGCATAAGTAGTCCTGTCTATGTTACTTACCAAGATATATATAGACCTTTTATTGAATTCCTTCTGTTAGAAGCTCAAAGATAATATTATTCTTTACAATAAGTCTCAGGTCTTAATCTAATTTCGTTTTGCTTACTTCATACCAGTTATGAGACACATTTCCGAAAAAATGACTCAGTTTTCCTTCGCATGATGATATCCGTTTCATCTTCTTTTTTATGTACACCAACAGCTGAAGTAGGCTGGAAGGGACCACTCGACTAAAATACTTATTTTACACCACTTGATTCTGCGGAGTCATTTGCAGGGAGGTCGGAATTTATCTTGAAAACCGCCTAAATTTGTCATAGAGCGACCATAGTCATTTCAAAACTGTTATAATTTCCTCAGTGTGCCAAAATTTTAAAAAACCAAGCGGGAATGCGTGAACACGTTTAGTATCTTTATGTTGTTTTAATGCCCTGATGTTTCACTTGTCCATTTACTCACTAGGCATGGGATAGCCAAAAAATGTGTGGCTGACCAAGTTTTAATCGTAGTGAGAATAAATTATGTCAAGTATCTAAGACTCAGAATCACTTTTACGATGTGGCGAAGCGATAGTTTCCGATCTGCAGTGAGGCGTTCCTATCTGACGTCGCCAACCTTATTTTGTGGAGCTGATTTTTGTCTGATGGAGTGATGTGAAGGACCAATAATATTCCATTTGTAATACGTAGTAAGTAAGGACAGTGTTGCTGCGATGACGGTAGTTAGCCCTATCCCTCGTTAGTTGTTCCGAATGGTCTAAATCAGAAGTATTAATAGAATTATTGTAATCAACATCCGGTGTGTGAACGCGAAGACGAAAATGTACAAACAGATGGATAGACAAGTAGGTCAGTGAAAAACAGGCTGAGTACGAAGAACGTAGGGACAAGGGAGACTGAGTAATGTCCGAGGATAAGTTCAGCTGAGATCTATTCGCTGAGCCAGGTATATGATGTTACGTTTTGGTCCTGGAGACAGTCAGTTTTTCAAAGTCCGTGTGCTGCTATACGATTATCCAGCCTCCACTTTATGCTGGAGATGCAGCAGCCACAGCAGCTGATAAAGACTTTCAAGGGAACTAAACTCGAAGAGAATAATACAGTCTTCTCCTTCTGATGAGCAGCCATTCGTAGGTTGCCACTTTTGTATAAGTAATTATGTTCACTCGTAATATTATTAGGCATGATCAGGTCAGCGCGAAGCTGTCTGTGGTTAGACGTAAACATACCTGATTTCTGCAGACTTTCCTCATACAGTTTATTCTGAAACCACACTAAATGACCTAATTAGATGTGATATATAGCGATGAGTAATTAATAGCAGAATGACGCTTTCAGCACAACTGATTCGCAATAATCATATCGCATGGCTCCCCTTTCTAACTATATTAGGTGGACAGACAAGTCAATCAGAGAATCACTGTTCATCTAGTCAACACCAAATATGTTCGACTTGCCGAATATGTTGAAAATTACAATGAATAGCAAGATAAAGGACAAAAATACATAGAGCAAACTTCGAAGTCGTGTTGAACTAATTGGTGTGGTGATGAGCAATAAACATTTCTAGAAACGTCATCCAGTTATTAGTACCGTTTGACATATCAAGAAAACTTATCTGATATGGAATTAGATTCTACTATGGTCGATAAGTTTCACACTTTCATAATGTCTCCTGTTCCAAAGGGTGAATAACTCTTCTAACCAATGATAATTTTTTTAGAATGAGGTGGAATGTAAATTTCGTATACGTTTAGAAGTTCTGGTGTGAGAGCCTTTAAATGCGCATAACCGTGTATACCATGAGGAAGTCATCCGAACAACTAACACTTTTATCGGGTTTGTTCGTTAGAGCGAGAATGAATTGCGAACTGACGTTTCTTATGATATGTTACTGCCACATACAAGGTGTGCTTCATGGAGATCAGAGGCAGTCCTCAGATTTAGGCGCAGTCTTCCAGAGTTTTCGTGTCTGCCAGTGACACGTTCAGGTCTCCCAGACATTTGATTGCATGCCAAATTGTTAAGTCAATGGCACAAGCAAAACAAAAGAGGTTCAGAAGAAAAGGCAATTCTCTGAGGAAAATTTACAATACATGTGTCTTAAAGGAGAACTCAGTGAAACTGGTGAAACTGAGCTCTACAAAAATGATCCGACACTGTTTGCTTTAAGACATATTTTACTTCGGACTAGATAATAAAGTTGATAATAATAATCTTTATTCCAAAAACGGTGCCTATAATACAGAATAGAACTCTCAGCATTTTTCACAATATTGCATATGATTTACCGAAAATATAAATAAAATTAAAACAAAATTAGCCAGAGGAATTTGTCCACGCTTACTATACAAAGTCAAAAATATTCGAAGTACGAATACAGAATATTAAGTATAATAATAACAGCGAATTTGTTTCAAACAGTATTGTCGATCCATTTTGGGAATTTTAGTATCTTATGGGTTATTGAATCTAATGTTCTGTTGATACAGTATAGTGAGGGGAAATACAAAATTCCCTTATAGATAAGACTTTATTTTGATAAATCACACAGTGTTGTACAGTTATATTAACTGATGACGTTTCGAGCACAAACTATTGCCGCTCATAATCATATCAAGTTACCCGCACAACTTTGTTCTTTCATTTATATGCATTTGTGAAATCGACTAGATATTGGATTAAAAATCAATGTGAAACGTTGAAACCTCATCAGTTAATATAACTGTACAACACTGTGTTATTTATCAAAATAAAATCTTATCCATAATGGAGTTATACTCTACCACAGTGCCCAAATTTTATACTTATATCAGAAATACAAAATTAACAGCTATAACACAGCTTAAATGATGTTCACACGTATGAGAAAATAAATGAAAACAAAAAATTGAGATTATAAATATAATAAATACAATAACAACAAAGCTTGATGTTATGAAGGTGGAAGAAATGGTTTATCTAATAGTGCAAAGAAGGTTAGTTAGCTCTTGCCTGACACTATTTTCATCACATAAAGTACGTGCCATTTATAGTTTAGTGGAATTTTTATACTTAGACGTACGTGCATAAAGTCTTTTGAAAAGACTTCTTGCTTTACCTGAGGAGACACAAGGTTGGAGCTGCGGGTAGAGTGGGTACCCACAGTTTGTCAAAATTCCTGTGGCAAATTTGTTGCATGACATCAAGTGCCTATCAGTCACAGTGTCAACGATATGGTTCAATGGGGTATCACTCGTCCCACTGACACTCTTCAGAGTTCTACGAAGTATGACATGATCTCGGTTAAATAGTCCAGCAAAGATTAAGGGTGGACAATAAGGAAGAATAGGTAAGATGCACGAGTTGACAAACTGTAAGAGGAGTGGTTGGGTAATGCCTGAGTGCCTCAACTTCCTAATGTAAAAAGTCAGACGAAATATTCCCTTAGAAATCGCTAAGATATGGGAAGAACAGGATAGGTCAGAAGAAAGAATTAATCCAAGATCCTTAACTTCAGACTTGATTTGCATATCAGTAACATCAATTTTGCAAGGGTCATAGGAACCAACGTCTTCATTTAACTTTCGTTTGCATCGGAAAATGAAATTAACAGCCTGACATTTGGAAGGATTTAGTTTAAGGCCGTCACACAAAGACCATTTGCTAATTTCTGATAGAAGGCTGTTCATCTTAGCACAGTCAAGCTGGGAGTTAACAGATATTCAAATAGTTAGATCATCGGCATACTTAACAAAGTTCCTTTATTCATATTATCCAGAAGAGATGCCTAACCTATTCTTGAGAGAGAACATCGAGTCGAACCGCATCGGGTGCTCTTGCCAAACCAAAGAACACATAGACAGTACACCCACATTCAAGCATGATGTCCACTCGTTCCACTCTGACAACCGCTTCGCTACACAAGGAATATCTTTGGTAAAGTTGTGCTTCATGGGGTGTGCTATTCTGATCAATGCTTTTCCTGATACGATGGTCAGTCAAGCTCTCGAATACTTCCGGCTCCTCTGAGATTCGCCACAATGGGTGTGGGAGGCTAAAGTGTCAGTAGGTAATATCGACAGAATTCAGGTAGAGCAGGATACATAGCCACACATCAGTCACGAGCCTAATTCCTACTCGAAGCCAACTGGAAACCAGCACGAAGTCATTCAGAAAGCCTAACTAACTGGAATCTTAGAAGCCTACTGGTCTGCAATTTTTGCTTTTGTTTTTCTTCATCTAAGAAGATCAGGAAAAGAAAGCCTGTCTCTTAATCTTTTCACAGTTCTTCTGGGTCTTCAGAGTGATGAAACACGTCACGTAGGGACCAAGTGAGAGCTCCAGTGCCTTGCTTCGAAGCCGATTGGCAAATACTACAGCATCAGAACTTCCATGGGTTCAGCTACAACAGTTCCGTCAGATAAAATATGGGTTAGTGTGGGATGCTTTCGTTTAGTGGTTCTGTGACATGATCATTTTGATCTATCGTAAAAACTCACAGTTGTCTACTAAAGGCCACAGTGAATGTTTTCGCCATTTCCACGCTAGCAAGATACCGACCGCTTGGACGTCCTAATTCATATGCTCCCTCCCAAGTGTCAACAAAGATCGTTATAATGTCCTTGGGCTTGCCAGGATTTCCCGGACTAGACCCAAAACGCTGAGTTACATCCGTTCTAGAGGGCGTTGTACAAATAATGGACAGTCTGATTCCTGCGGAGCCACCATCCGTATAGACCCTTTCGTTTGGTTCGTAAAATATACTCTACCTATCTTCA